AGAGAGTCTGGAATATACAGCTTATGAGTTTCCAGGTTAGAAGCCGACAAGCCAACTTTCTTTCTGTATTTTATCCCCAGTTTGTTGCGGTTTAAACCGGGACGCTGAACTCTGCCCCCAAAATGGATTCAACAATTCAGAGAGCTCTTCTAAACTTCGGACTGAAACACAGAGCAGATAAATTGGATAATTTCTACCAGTCTCCCCAGAAGGGCATCGCAGCTCTCGGGGGCACTTGTGTACATGCCAAAGGGGTGTGGGAGTGTGGGTGCAGGTGCAAAAGGGTTGTGGGGGGTTCTGTCTCCGTGGCCCAGTCCGGCTCAGGCCATGGACTGGCACTGGGCCGTGGACCGGGGATTGGGGACCTCTGGTTTAAGCAATAAACCTAATTCAAAGTTCGTATGAATGATATTAAATATAATACAATTATAAAAACATACCAATTTAAAACATTATAAAAACACATTTGAATACAACGTAAGGTGTATTCAAACTCCTTTCTCAACAACCTGTTCCATGACGTCTTTCCTGACTGGGAGAAGAACGGCAGGGAGGGGGACCAACCACGGATTTAAAATGTAGGAACGTTTTTACAAGCTTATAGAATGCCAACACGGAAATGATGAAGAACTGGAGAATAATTGAAGACTAGAGTCTAACGCGAGTTTCACTTCTCACCCCTGAGGTCTGATGCTGGGGTGGGGAAAAATGTATGCTATTATTTCTTAAAATAATAGCACACTTTTATTTTTTTTAAAGCAACAACAGGAATTTCTAATTATTCTCCAAACTGTTCCTTCCTGTCTTTTTCTGCCTTAGCCCAGGGTCTCTTGTGCCGAGAGTGCCACAAGTTCACAGATAAACGGTGTCGCAACAATAGTGGAGTTTGTGAGACTGAAACTGGGAGATGCTACACAACTGCCGTCTACTCGTCAAGTAAGTTCTCAAGGCACACATTTTGCAAGGTTAAAATGGATGCAGTGCAGAAGGCCAGAGGCTTTTGAGATGGGTCTCTGAAGATAAGGTCCCCTCTACTAGTCCTCTAGTAATGTAAGCTACCTGCTGGATAGCTCGGTGGTTTAAGGCATGTGGCTGTGGAGTCAGAGATTGTGAGTCTGATTCCCTGCTCTGCCTCGACAGGGGTTGGGCTCAATGTTCTAAAATGTATGACTAAGATTTACTAACTTTTGGCTCTTGGGTAGTATAGGAGAAATAGAAAAGTTCCAAATATCATGGCTACATGTCTGGGCTTGGCTCCTTTGTTGAAAGCAAGTGCCAAGAGGCTTGAAGCCACAGGTTTCCAACCTTGGGTCCCCAGATGTTCTTAGATGGCAACTCAAAGACATTCCGGCCAGCACAGCTAGCGGTGAAGGCTTCTGGGAGTTTTAGTCTGAGAACATCTGGGCACCCAAGGTTGGGAACCATTGCTTTCAAGAAAGAAGCCTGCCTGGTCCACGCCTCTGGCCATCGTAATTGGAACTTCACTTTCTTCGCCTTTCTGGTGCCCAGCCTGATGAAGAGATGGAACGGGCTGAAAGCTAGGGGATGTTTGTGATATTTTTGTGGTCTAATAACAACATCACCCACCTTCCCCTTTGAATGGTGTATAAAAGGACCACATGGCTCTCCTTCTTCCCCCCCTTCCCCTCCAAGGCTTCATCCAAGATGTTCTCACAAATTATTTAAATAAGGAAAAGCAACAACATCTAGGACATTATTTCAGCTGGGAGCTGAGCCAACAAGTTGTCCCACAAAATAACGAAATAATACAACAACACCCCCACTAAACCCCCACAAATTTCCTGGAAAAAACCCTGCAACAACATACAAAATGTGACAACTGCACACAATATTGTTAAGTCTCGCTAAGGAGTGAGAAACTTTTGAAATCTTTGGGTCTGACCTGCAAAAAATAAGAGGAAATCTACCTGTCCAGGGGCGTTTAAACAAACCAGGAAGTAAGGCAGTGGCTTCCTCTGTTGGCAAGCATTGGGAGAGTTCAGTTAGAGAAGCCGGTTCTTACCTACCGTATTTTTTGCTCCATAAGACGCACTCCCCCCCAAATGTGGGTGGGAAAGTCCGTGCCTCTTATGGAGCGAAGGCAGGAATTTTGTCCCCGCTGGCCCCATGGGGTGGGGGGTGGGGGGAGCTTTGCAAAGGTCCGAGGGAGCCTTCCAGGACCCTTGTGAGGCTCCCCCCACCCCCCACGCGTCCAGCATGGGTGGAATCACCAGCTTCTAGGTCCTTTTCTGAGCCTTTTAAGCCTCAGAAAAGGTCCTAGAAGCTGGTAATTTCACACACCGCCACCCCGTGGTGGGTGGGTGGAGCCTTGCTGGGGGGTGGGGGGAACTTTGCAAAGGTCCGAGGGAGCCTTCCAGGACCCTTGTGAGGCTCCCCCCACCCCCCACGCGTCCAGCATGGGTGGAATCACCAGCTTCTAGGTCCTTTTCTGAGCCTTTTAAGCCTCAGAAAAGGTCCTAGAAGCTGGTAATTTCACACACCGCCACCCCGTGGTGGGTGGGTGGAGCCTTGCAAGGGTCCGAGGGAGCCTTCCAGGACCCTTGCCACGCTCCCCCCACCTCCCACAGGTCCAGCATGGGTGAAATCGCCAGCTTCTAGGACCTTTTCTGAGCCTTTTAAGCCTCAGAAAAGGTCCTAGAAGCTGGGAATTTTGCCCCTGCTGGCCCTGTGGGGGGTGGGAGGAGCCTTGCAGTGGTCTGAGGGAGCCTTCCAGGATGCTTGCCACACTCCCCTCACCCCTGCATGGATCCAGCTCCCAGTTTCTGGGAGTCTTTTGAGGCTTGGGAAGCTTCAGAAGAGTCCCAAAAGCTGGCGATTTCACCCCTTCTGACCCGCGGGGGGGCAGGGTGAGACTCCAAAGGGTCCTAGGGTGTGTTCCATAAGATGGACCTCTCCATAAGGCTCACCAATTTTTAGGAGAATAAAACAAATTATTTTTTTCCTGTTTTCTTCTCCTAAAACTTTGGTGCGTCTTATGGACAGGTGCGTCTTATGGAGTGAAGAATACGATATTTCAGTTCAGAACATGGAGCGTGAAAGGTAGTTGTACGTCAAGAGAGGTATGGGCTCTTCCTAACACTGCTCTATTCCTTAGAGGGGTAAATTCTTCCTTCGTTCCTTCTCATGCATGAGAATGAGGAGCTGTCAAATATTGCTTCTCACGTGCTAAAAATCCTCTCACTTGGAAGAAAGTTTTTTTCCCCTTGGTGCAGAGTTGCCATCGCTGCTGTCTTGTTGCCTGGACTCTTATAAATCAAAACTGCCAGATGAGATGTTTGTTTCTTACCCAAAAGGCCTTTGTACTGGATAAGCACGCACGCAAGCTACGGGAATGCCCCCGCCGCCCCGTGCACAGAGCCCCCGCCCCCTCAACCAGTCCGCCATCCGAAAAAGGGTTGGGGGCCGCTGTATTTAGGGGTTAAGAGTCCACACCATGGAGAGCTCCTGCAAAGAACCGGACTCACTCCCTGGCGTTCTTCTTCTCCCAACAGATTCAACATATAGAAGGATGACATATGGATGCTATGAAGGTCCACAGAAGGGAAAAATTTGTGACCAGCCTGAGAAAAGTGGTGACTATTCATTTTACATCACTTCATGCTGTGACACCGACTTCTGCAATGGAAACTCTCCACCTCCACTTCCTGCTGAATGTTATGGCCCACGAGGCAGACCGTGAGCGGCAATGAGATCCTTCATCCGGGGATCCTTGAGATTTGAACCCTGTCCGCCCCCATGGCTGCTACTCCCCTAAAACCTGCTCTTAATTGGGTCTTACTTTATATTCCCCCCTCATCTGAACTGCCTTGCAAAATTGCTCTTTTCATGTTTTCAGAGGAGGAGAACTACATTCCCGCCAATCATTAAGTTTCAGGTAGAGAACTATCTGTCCTGGAGTCTAATCCAGCAGGGAATGCCATTGGTGTCCCCTGGGGCTGTTTCTTCAGACCCATAGCCCTGTTTAAAGCAAGCCGCTAGTAATAATGAGCCTGTTCAAAAACCAAGTGCTGTGCCTTGCTTTCATCAGGCGGTGTGTCTGTTTCTGCCATTTTTGTCAAATCCAGAAAATAAGCTTTATTTACTTCCACCTTTTGTGTGTGGGGGGACATTCAAGGCATGGTTGGAGGGGGAATGGCCCGCAGATCCCACCCTCAGCACTTCCTCAATTCCAGCTGAAAGCATTCCCCATTTATCTCCTTCTGGAGTTGTGGGGGAAGATTCTGCCCCCTTTGTCATTTCTGCACCTTCTTAAGCTACCCCAAAGGGAATAAGCTTTATTTACTTCCACCTTTTGTGTGTGGGGGGACATTCAAGGCATGGTTGGAGGGGGAATGGCCCGCAGATCCCACCCTCAGCACTTCCTCAATTCCAGCTGAAAGCATTCCCCATTTATCTCCTTCTGGAGTTGTGGGGGAAGATTCTGCCCCCTTTGTCATTTCTGCACCTTCTTAAGCTACCCCAAAGGGAATTCTCCATCCACTCCCATCACCTGGGAGACAGCGTAGGGAAAAGTGACACCGTAAGGGATGTGGCATTCGGATTTACGGGATTGAATTAAAACATACTGAAGAGGGTCTTCCTTTCGTTCTTGTATTCTTTCGCTCATTTCCGACAGAGAGCCTCTGATTCCTGAACCATTCAGTTTAATAAAAAAGAGGACCTAGAATATTTTGACTTGTACCTGGTTTTTAAAAAGTCTGAACAGAAATCAGTTCAAATTGCCAGTGTGACTATGATCTCTAACTCCATCCCACTGAGCTTTATTCTCTCCGCATAACCTGCTTCACAAGATTGCTAGGAAACTCCTAAGTCATTTAAATAGATTCGTATGCAGTTAGAAACAACAATACTTTTTATGGAAGCCCCTCAGAGTGGTCGATTTGACCAGATGAGCGGGATATAAATCAAATAAACAAACAAACAAACAAACAAACAAACAAATAAATAAATGGCTGGAAAAAGATAACCCACAGCACAAGGTCTTTTTTATCTTTAATTATATGAGTTTTGAATTCTCCTACTGCCAATGTGTCATATCTTTTGCTCAATTTTTGTTTTATATTGATATGAACTACGGTGAGAGTACCTCTTTGGGTTTGGTCCCCCCCCCACCTCCCAAGTTTTATCCTACCACCCACCACCTCATATTTTCCACCCTTTTAAAGAAGTCAACGATGGATCCAGCCTCAGCCAACGATAATCCTGTTTTCCACAAGTCTGCAAAAGTGCCGCAGTCCATTTCCCGGCATTCCTGACGAGCAGCCATATTGGCTTGGACAGATCAAAATGGTCGCACATTGCTGGGTTGGAGAAGGCAGATCCAGCCAAGACGGGGTTTGTTTTTGTTTTCTAATACGCAGTGACCTCCGAGGTCCACTGCTACTTTCCCTGCCATTCTGTGATTGTCCGTCTCTGCCCGCAGCAGCAGCAGCACCTTTCCTTGATGAACAGGACCGGATTTGTCCATGAACATCTACTGCGTGCATCCTGTGGAGATGCTTGAAAGCTGAGGTGCCGGGAGGACGTCCCCTGCCTTTGAAGCAAGGGGTCCATTCATCCCCGCCTGACCTGACTGTTTCGTGCAAAGCAAAGCACAGCTCCCTAAGACGACGAAACCCACAGGTGGAGCATTTAAAGAGTTCCCTTTCTGGCACGTCTCCTGCTCGTGTTGAACCAGGGACGACTTCCGCCGGTAACTCTTCCCACAGTGTCGGCAACAGTACGGCCTCTCTCCCGTGTGGGTCCTCTTATGCTGGCTAAGGTTCGAGCTGGTGCAGAAGCTTTTCCCACAGTCAGGGCATTGATAGGGCCTCTCTTTGGTGTGGCTTCTCTCATGCCGGAGGAACCGCGATTGGCAAGAAAAGCTTTTCCCACAGTAAGAGCACTTGTTCAGCTTCCCTGCCCCCACAGACTCTTCCGATGTCGCATTTTTGCCGTAAAGGAAGCTCCTGCCGTAAGCCGAGCACTGGGTTCTGGGGTCGACATTCAGATGAGAACTCAGGGTCAGACCAGAGGACCTCCTGCACCCTGAGCAGTTGCAGGATTTCTCCTTCACGTGCGTCCTCTTGTGTTTCGTCAGGTGAGTCCTCCGGATGAAGCTTTTCCCGCACTGGGAACACTTGTGCGGCTTTTCCCCCGTATGGGTCCTTTCGTGCATGGTGAGGTTCGACCTCCGATTGAAACTTTTCCCACACTTGGTGCATTTATGGGGCTTCTCGCCCGTGTGGATGCTCTCGTGCCTGAGAAGCTGAGACGGGCAGGGCCACTTTTTCCCACAATACGAACACTCGTAGGACTCCTTCCAGTGCTTCATGCCGCCAGAACTCCGAGTAAGGCTTTTCCTGCTCTTGGTGGTCGTCGTGTTGGTCTTTGGCCCAGCGATTCCCGCTGGAAACGAGCTTTCATGTAAATGGAGGCCACCCTCCTGACAAACAAAGTCATTTCCTAGTTTTCTGCCAGGGTGGTTTTCACAATGGTTTTTCAGGCCTTGTTGGTTTTCAAGTCTCTCTTCCACTTCAAGAGTTTGGAAAAACCTCCTTCTGCCTCTTTCCAGGGATCTATCGCTCACTGCAGCTTGTTCAGGTCTTCGTGGCAGGCCATTCTCTCGATCGTTCTCCTCAATTTGCCTGCTGCCTAAAATAAAAGAAGGAGGAAGAGAGAGGATGAGGACCGAGCCTCTACCGCTGTAAGAATAAAAACAGGAAACCGTACAAATGAAAACAGAAAACGTGGCAAGAAATGCATTCAGAAGGAAAGTCTGCTGTTCACATATTTTCTAGTCCAATGTTTTCCAAATTTATGGTTTAGTTCAAATTTTGTTCCTACTTTGCCTCTTAATTGTGAATTTAAATTCAGAAGGCACATGTTACACTTTCAAGGCTTGGCTTTTGGGTCCATGAAGTGTGACAACGATTTAGCACAGATAAAACACCTGGTATATACAAAATTACGTAACATAATTCTTCCAGTGTGGTATATGGTACAGCCCAAGCTAGACCATGGAAAAATTACTTTTTTAAATCCATAACTGGACAATGCTGATTGGGGTACAAAATTGTGAGAGTTGTGATGGAGACACCACACTGTCTCCAAATTTTAATGAAAACCGATAGGGAAAAAAACTCATTTGTTTGAGCCAGAGGTTGGGAGTTTGATTCCCCATTGGGGCTCCTTGAGAGGGGCTTGACTCCATGATCAAGAGGGTCCCTTCCAGCTTTGCCATTCTAAGATGATGAATTTAACATACCAGCCTTTCTCTTCCTCTTTCGTTTTAATTGTTCTTTATTGTATCTCTTCATTACATTCCAGCTTTTCCTCCAAGGCGCTCAAGGCCTTGCGGTTTCTCCTCCCAGCTTTACTCCCCTAACAACAACCTTGGGAGGTAGATAAAGCAAAAAAAAAAAGCAACTGATCCAGAGTCACCCAATGAGTATCACAGAATCCACACCACCTAATTCCTATCGAATACTCTAATCGCCACAGCACAAATACCTCTTTCTTCAAGAAATAAAAAGGATCTACAATCTCCATGCCATCACCTGGGTACAGTGGTGCCTCACAAGATGAATGTAATTCGTTCCGCGAGTAGCGCTGTCTTGTGAAATTTTCGTCTTTCAAAAAGTGGTTTCCCATAGGAATGCATTGCAATGCATTCCTATGGGAACCGCGCAAGACGAATGAATTTTTTCATCTTGCGAGGCATCGGTCTTGGAACGGCCAGAGAAGAAGCCATCTTGCAAGGCACCACAGCGATTGCAAAAATGATTTGTCTTGCGGGTTTTTCATCCCGGGATGGGTTTGTCTTGCGAGGCACCATTGTATTTATGATCTATCTCAGATTCTCAACCCAGACCATGCTCACTTTCCACAGTCCAGACCAACTCAGCCTCTCTCTCATCCTCCAGTTCTGCCTCCGTCGAGAGAGGCTGCTGCCCTTTGGTTCCAGGCAGCTCCCATTCGGTCTCGGGAGAATTCACGATCACTTCCTCAAAAGGCTCCAGGACCTGAAAAGGAAGGGAACAGATACAATTCACAAACAAGGTGAAAAGCAGAAATGCAAGCCCCACTTTTGTACACTTAATGATGCTTAATCTGTAAATATTAGCTGGTGGCCTTGGAAAAGAGGCAGAGTCCCAGGGCACCCCCAGACGAAGGGAAGGGAAAACCACTTCCAAGTATTCTCTACCTGGAAAACCCTGAAAAGGGTTGCCATAACCCAGAATTGACTTGACAACACATGACTATTATTATTCATGTGATTCATGTCATGGCAAGCTGCATCTGCTAAGCACAGCAGATCAAACTGCTTTGTGGCGCAGTGGTTAAACTGCAGTACTGCAGCCAAAACTCCGCTCACCACCTGGATTCAGTCCCAGGTAGCTGGATCAAGGCTGACTCAGCCTTCCATCGTAACAACTATCTAGGATTACTTTACTTTACTTTACTTTATTTGATTTATACCCCGCCCATCTGGCCTAAAAGGCCACTCTAGGCGGCCTTCCCAAGTTTTATCCTGCCTTCCCAAGTTTTACAATACTCAACCTGACAAAAAGTTCTTTAAAAATATTTTCATCCCTATCAGCTTGGGATATATTTTTTTAAATTTTTCCCCTGCTGAGAGCCTTTGCTCCCTTCTGTTGGGCCCGCTACTCAAAACATACCCACCTGCCTTTCAGTCTTCTCTGCCTTCGGCACCCGCAAGAGAAAATGTTCTGCCAGTGACACTGCCTGGGCGCAGCTCTGAGCACCGCCTCCCCTCACCCAGCTCTGAATTTCCTCAGGCAGGATGGCCAGGAACTGCTCCAGGACCAGCAGGTCTAAGATCCGCTCCACCGTGTGCACGTCTGGCTTCAGCCATTGACAGCAAAGTCCCAGGAGTTGCCTGCAAATCTCTCGGGGCCCCTCGGCCTCCTGGTAAGGGAAACGTCTAAAATCCTGGCGCCGCATCTCCAAGCTCTCATCCTCCTCTGTGATTTCTTCCTTCACTTTCACTAAAGACTCCAGGCTGCCTCCGTGGGCTTCTCCACCAAGGCCTGGCCAGGGGTCAGCCTCAGATTCAGCCTTTGGCAAAAGGTTCATCTCAACCACTTCTCCTTTGGTAGAAGCGTGAAATTCCTCGGTGTGCTCTTCTGATGGAAACCGACGGAATGGCACAGGCCTCCAACCCAAGTCGGGATCCTGTAGCATCTTCAGGTACTCCTGCCATCGGGCTTCCCAACACGGCTCCTCTGACTCCAGTTTGATCTCTTTAAGAGTCGGCCGGCTCAGAAGCTCCCTGGGAGTCTCAGCCCAGGAGACGCAACACGATCTTTCTTCCGCCGACCTTCTCTCTCGGATCTCTGTGGCTGCCAGCTCTTGAGCCTCCATTTTCAATCTTGCCTGCTCTCATCACACGGCTAATGGAAACAGGATAACTGACCAATGAGAAACGAGATGGGTATCAGAGAAAGAGAGAGAGATGGCCGTGGTTCTGAGGCGCTCACCAGTGGCTGTATGAGAACAAAGGAGCCATGCATTGCTAACATCATAATGGCAAACTGCCTCTCTAGGATTCTTAGAACTGGCCGAGACTTCAAAGCTGGGGGGCCGCGGGAAGGGGGGAATGACAGGAAATCAGCCCAGATCTGGATTATACCATTTTAGAATGTAGGTGGTAGGTCCCACCCTTAATACACAAGATTAGCCCAAGGCATTTTGTTACTGCTTGTGGTGACCAAAAGAGAGAGAGAGAGAGAGAGAGGAAAATTCCATTTCATGTACAGTATATAACCCAACTCACATATTCCATATACAGAGAGGAAAATTCCATTTCATGTATATAACCCAACTCACATATTCCATATACGGGGCGTGCAGCTTTGTGTTTTTTGGACTACAACTCCCAGAATCCCCTGGAAGAGGCCAGGGGATTCTGGGAGTGGTTGTCCAAAAACACACACTTATTCACTCCTCCTTATACAAACCAAACCTATGGTTGAATTTTGCTTTGATTCTGACTATACAACAGTGCCAGCCTGTTGAGAAGGGATGAGCTGAAAGGGCTCCATCTAGAATACGGGGCCCATATATTTCTGTCTTAAGGAGATACTGTACAAAACAGAGCGTCCTGACAACCGAGGGCAATGAGCACAGATTGTCAAAGCAGCTGCACTGTGGCCGGTCCCACTTAGGGCAGCAATGAGCATGGATCGTCGAAGCAGCTGCACTGTGGCCGGTCCCACTTACCTTTCTTTATCATCTTGTGAACCCACTTTCCCAGGTAGTCTGTAAAACTGAGGTGGGCAATGCACTGCCTGTCAGCATCATGCTTGCCAACCCTTGGGGCCTCCCTACTCACACACCTCCAAATAAACCTGCAAGGGACCTCAGCTGTCTGCAATTGACATGGACAGAGAGGGGGGTGTCCTGTCTCAGATCGCAAGCCACTGATGGCTGCATCGATCCATGAAAGAAATCTTACAGCATCGCTGCAAACCTCAGCTCATACCTCAAAACTTTCTTAATCCAGCAGCCTTTCCAAAATATCCCATCTGAATAGCCCGCTGAGATGATCAGCGTATCATTTTAAACTACCGCCTGCTTTTTTAAACAGAATCTTAATTTCAATTTTTTTGATTATGCTTATGATAGTCTACGTTGTTTGTCATGTGTTCATCAGTTGGGCGGTATATCGTTTAAATAAATTCATATATTAAAATAAATTTTAAATTTTTTTTATATGACATGCTGTTGGCCAGAAATGTTTGGAACTGTGATCCGAAATATCCAAGAGGCACCGGATTCGGGACGGGCCGATCTACAACAGCACCTGCTGATTTTTGCAATATTCAATATGTAGCAATAGGGCATGGAAATTCAGCTAGCAACCCACCGGTGCGGCTTCCACGCCAGCATCCTTCTGCACCTGTTTGGGGGCAATTCCTCTTGCTTTGCGGTTCGAGAGCTTAAACCCAATTAACGATCTTAGGGAAAGGGAGACCCAGTTAAGAAGCCATGTGAGTTTGCAACGCAAACAAGAAACGGGCATTTGCCCTTTATCCAGAGTTGAAAGGCTTGATTAAAAAAAAGACAGATCCAGGATCAGGCAGGCGTCCCTTCATTCCCCCCAGGTCTCCTCTTCCTCCAGTATGTTATGCTTCATTCCCTACTCACCATCTCGGAGTAGCCTTTGCGTTACCTGCGGGTCTGGAATCTGGACCCACTTCCCGGGAAATGCAAAGGCAGCACCCACTGCCATAGAGATGCAGCTCCGAGGGAAGGAAAGCCGCCAACGGAAGCTGCATCTGGCATTTAAACGCTCCCCTTTTCTGAGCCTCTCTAGGCAGATCAGGTCACTCTCATTAACCCCTTGAGTCTCTTGGTGAAGAGCAAAGCAGAGGGGGGAAGAGATAGGAAATTTCTTTGGCTCCCTCAACTTGGCATCAAGATTTGCAGCTGGCCCTCTTTGGACAAGACAGACAGACAGAGAGACAGACAGATGGGCTCATTATTACGCATTCCTGCTTTGATTGTGCCTTTAGGTATTCCTTGTATATGCCCTTTCTCAAAGTGGTATTTGTTTGTTCCTTTTAAATATATTTGTCTACTTTATTGTTTTTAACTTTTAAATATTGTGTTTTAAGAAGTGCTGGATAGATCAGTAGTTTAGGTCTCTGGATGAGAAGTTGGGAGTTTGATTCCCCCACTGTGCCTTCTTGCCAGGGGCTGGACTGGATGATCTAGAGGGTCCCTTCCAGTTCCACATTTCTCTCTCTCTCTCTTTTTTAATTAGTAAAATCTGTGTTTATTAAACATCGTGATTCATAGGTTCAGTTTATATTCATTTCTTAATACAGATTAGGGCCTAATCTCTACACCACGTTTCTAACCGTTAATAGAACCGATTCCATGTTTGAAAATATTCTGAATCTTCCTTCTCTTTAATCTTCAATGTAAATCTGTCCATTTCTGCATGGTCCATAATTTTCTTAATTATTTCTTCATCTGTAGGTATTCCTTCATTTTTCCAATGTGGTGCCAGTAAAATCCTAGCTGCTGTCAAAATACGCACTGTTAGATTACATTTTGTTTATCAAAATTTTCTGACATTATACCTAATAGAAGCAGTTCTGGTTTAAAGTCTATATGTTTTTTGTTTTTTACATTTTAGCAAGCCATGTATGTATTTTAATCCAAAAGTATTTAACTTTATCACAAGTCCACCATACATGACAATAAGTACCAGCTTTTTGATTGCACTTCCAACATTTATTAGACATATTAGAAAATATTTTAGCTTTTTTCCTCTTTTTTTCTTTAAAAAAACAATTCAATTTCTTTTTTAGCTTCTTCAACAAATTCTTTATCTTTCAATATGGTTCGGTTTAAACTCCCTCTTGTTTTTTTCTTTTCTCCTTTTCACCGCATCTTCATTGGGTTGTGATCCGCCCAAATATTGGTTTCTATTTCTACTTCATGTATTCCAAGGATAGCCATATCTTATCGATTCTAGACCAAGATTTATGCCTATTCGAATACAATGTACATTGAGCATTTTTTTTATTTGTTTCTCTCCTTATAGTGTATCTTGTAGCCCTAATTCTTCTGCCATCTGAAGGAAGATTTTTGGAAGTCTTTTCCTTTCCCTGTTTTTGCCACTTTTATTGTCCAGTCTTTCATCCACGATTGCGTTAAAATCTCCTAATAGACAGATATTTTGGTATTCTTTTTCTAATACTATCTTGTATAGCTTTTGATAGAATTCTTCTTGTTTATTATTGAGTGCATATACAGTATTACTATCATCAAGATCTTTTTTATTTATTTATTGTTGTTTCTACTGTTAGAATTCTCCGTTCTTTATCCGAATAACCGTGTTTTGAGTCCAAAGTTTCTTTAACATATAAGGCTACCCTTCTTTTCTTTTGATGTGCTGAACAGAATTTATCAATCTTTGGGTATTCCAAATATTTGTGATGCTGCCTTTTTAATATGGGTTTCGTGAAGACAGATTATGTTCATCTAAATTTTTTGTAGTTGTGAAAAGATTTTTTTCCCTTTTTCCTGGTGAGTTCAGGCTGTTAATATTCAATGAAAAGATCTGAATTTCTGCCTCCATCTTCTTTACTTATATTTAGGGTTTGTTGTCTTTGTTTTTTTGCCAATTCTTGTTCTGTGTCCTTTTTTGGGTTTCCTTCTTCACTTTGTGCAGCTGCCTCTTCTGGTATTATCTCTCCCAGTTCTCTAATTTCTTCTTCATTTCTATCTGGCTTTTGTGTTTCTTCTTCAAAAAAGCTTACCTGTTTCTCATAGAATTCTCTTGCTTTACGGATGGAATCTAGTCTGTATCTTCTTGAATTCCAGTTCATCAGGATCCTTTCAGGTACTAGCCATCTAAATTCACTCCTTTTCCACAATCTCCTTTTGTCTGTATTGTATATGTTCTTCTCTTGTCTTTCTCAGTACTTCATCTCTTGTCGATCTTTTCACAAACTTTACGGGGACACCGGCTATTATTATAAAAATATTTTAAATAACGGTAAATCAAATCAATAAAGGCAGGGAATGCTGCACAGATTAGGTGAGCAACGTGGCAGCTTAGCTTGTCCATGGACTTCCTTACCCCCCTTGCTCTACCTTGCAAAGTTGCGCTAATAATATAGTTTCTCAGACATGTGAAGGTCTGAAGGAGCTGTCTATGTACTCCGGGTCTGTACAATCAGGGAAATTTTAGAAGATGTATTAGTCTGTGCTAGCATATCAGGCAAAGACAAAATGAAAATAATAAAGAAAAGAAAAATGTGGTGGATTGTCCACAAAGAAAAAAACACGTTAAAATATAACAGTTAAAGGAGCCATAACCTTTTTGTCTTCTTTATTTTTTTTATTTTGCTTTTGTCTAATATATCAGGGAAATGGCTGTCCAAGATATCTAGCTGCCCGAGCAAACCACAGGATGTCTTCTTTCCCATTCCATGTATAAAAATGCAGAATCCAGGCAGTTCTGTGAGATGAGATCTGCAGGACCCACCCGGTCCATGGAGCCCTCGGCCATGTCACGGGTGGGATGAGGAGGCATCTGCTGAGAGCTCTGAGGCTGCCCAGGTTCAGC